ATATTGAACTCATGGTCTTAATAGACAATACCGCTTCTGATATTATTAAGTTATTATATGAGGATTCATTAGGGAGGATTTTCAACTTCAGTAAATGTTTGACGTAATATAATTTCCATTTATTATTGTTGATGAGTTATTGGTTTACTCTCAGAGTTGTTGACGTGTTCATGATGAAAGTATGTTTAACACACTATTAGTACAATATGTAATAGGTAATAGAATATATTTGTTATTAATAAACATATTCAAAGTAATTAATTGATAAAATTTTATGCAAACAAATCTAGACTTCATAAGTAAAGATGGATAGTTGCTAGCAGTGAAATCCAGGACGCACGTTTCGTCCTATTTGAAACTCGTCTGCTGTATGTACCTGCATATCAGAGTTCATGTTCACTCTGGGAGTCGAACCCAGTACCTTTCGCCTCAAACACCATTACGTTATCCACTCAGCTACTGAATCCTGCTAGCCACTTGCTTGTGCAATGGGGTGAAGTTTAGATTCACTTAGTATTGTTTGTTTTAATCTTCTCATTGATGTTTAGGACTGCAACTGGTTCAGCTGACGAGTCCCAAATAGGACGAAACGCGCGTCCCAGATTTCACTGTTAGCCACTATCCATCTTTGCCTATAATACTTGTGAAATAAGGCTATATCGAGGCAACGTGCACAGTGTGCACATATGCCAATTAGAGACTGATCAATTACAGTGCTAAACATCAATGGGAAGATTTAAACAAACAATACTAAGTTAATTTAAATCTAGACTTCTCTTAGTGCTTTTTTAATGAGTTGATTTTCATTCCCAGTTACCTTTTAACAGTTTACTAATCTAATCTTATATTATAGTTGATGAATAATTTTATTTGAATAAAGCAAAAATGTATTAGTGGGGAAATTTGTTTTCAGTTATTCTTTACTTCAACAAAGAATTTTGTTCGGTTCAGTGGTCTAAAGGTTAAGCATTTTAATGCTAGTTCGTTGGTTACATCTTTATTGGTAGGGTTATGGATATACACTGCTTAGCAGTCCTATATTATAATTAAAAAGCTATCTAGTGTTTTCAGGTTTCTCATTGTTGTCGAGCTTTGGTTTGTTTATGATTTCAATAGGATCTAACTATCTACACAATTCCCCATATTTGAAAATCATGAGGAACAAATGTCGAAGTTTATGGAATTTTGGATTGATAATAATCGAGATCCGAAATCGTGGAATATAATGAACTAAACTAGCTTATACTTGATATTAAGAAGCCAATTAAAGAAAATGGAAAATCACTATTTCATCTCAATATGGAACTCATAAAGTATATACACAAATAACTCTGACAGGGATCTAAGCCAGAAAATTCACACTTGATAGACACCGTGTCATATTTATACTGGTGTATTGATATAAATTAGTTTTTTTATAGTTGAAATCATGAGTCAATTGAAGCTAAGCCACCATCGAAAACACGGAAGCACTGGATAACCGTTTCGTCCTATTTTGATACTCCACAACAGTGCGTATCCACGATCTCGCCTTGCTGGACACAAACTCAGCACCTATCGGTGTCTCACACGAGCACTTAACCTCTAGACCATTGAACTTGCCGGCATCCAACGGTGTTAATATTTGACTTCAACCAATCCACGAAGTTGAGCAACCGTTAACCATTGTCTTCAGTCAGTTGATATCTCCCAACAGACCTAGTTGAACTCCATTGATCACTGCTTCTTACTAGAACTCCAGGAAATATCTCTTAAAGTCAGTCGTGGATGCGCACTGCTGAGTACTCCCATACTAAGACGAAACAGTCATACAATGCTTCCAAGTTTTCCATGATAATCTACCATTAATTCAACCATTAAAACAATACACAATTCTTAATCACATGTAAATAGATGATGAAATGACCTTTTTTTCTCTTACTACTGAACTAATTATTAAACAGTTATTCAAATGATCTAGATATTAACTTAGTTACTTATTAGTTAATATATGAATAATTAAATGATAATATATGTTATATGTGTATAGAGATGAACGATAATCACTTTAATATTCTATAAATTATTCATTCTAGATAATGGATACTAAAAACATTAAAGTGTATCCTAAACTTTTCCCTTTTTTTTGTTACTAAGTACAATGAATTCTGTTCCCATTTTAGAAAAGAAAAAAATTTTCGTTTTCTATGTATGTGTAACAATATTTTACTCCTATAAGTTACTTTATTAGAAAGAAATTAGATCAATAAAATCTCAATTAAAGTTAAGAAATAAATTTTTTTTTTTGATTTCATTACTCAGTTATCATTAGTGGTTGATAATTATTATGTTTATTGAAAATTTCTAGTTAAACTAATATGTCAGATTAAAGACAACGTATTTTTCAATACGATGGGGGGAAGGGGGGCGATTGTGCAAATTGTCAAATTTTATTAAGATTATGAATTGATCTAAGTTCTAATAAGAAGCAGTGACTAGTAGAGTTCAATCAGGTCTGTTGTGAAATAGTAACTCACTGAAGACAATGGTGAACCTGTCGCTCAATTTCGTGGATCGGTTGAAGTTAAACATTAACACCGTTGGATGCCGGTTCAGTGGTCTAGAGGTTAAGCGTTCGCGTTCGTGATTGATACGTCGAATCTCGCGAGGTTGGATAATGGATGCGCACTGCTGAGAAATCCCATAATAGGACGAAACGGTTTTCCAGTGCTTCCAGGTTTTCCACAGTGGTCTAGCTTCAATTGATTCTCAATTATCGAAATTATTGAAAACCTGAAAGTAGTGAACATTTATTTTGTCCTAATATGGGACTACTAAGCAATGAAAACCCACGACCCCATCACTGAGGATAGAACCCATGACCTTTAGTCTAATGTTAAAACGCTAAACCTCTTGATCAATGAATCAACATAAAATAGTGTACATGTTTGCGATATTACGTAATCATCTTTGATTCATTGTTGTGGATGATAATCTAGCTTAAATCAGTTCGTAATTCAATTATTTAAATCCTACGTTCTCCACAAACCTCTATTTTATGAACATTATACCCAACTAATTTACTTCTAATGGTAATAAATTACAATCAGACAAACCTCTTAAAATATAGATGGAAAATAATTGAAATCACAAAATTTATTCCTATTGAACAGATTTTTAGTCATTTCGTATATTTAGATAATAAGCTAACATGAACCAATCTAACTTAATACTCATCAGTATTGGATAGTGGAGGTTGATAAGTTTTGACTGAGATGATGAATCGATAAATGTTAGACCACCATTGAAAACCTGGAAGCGTTTAATGGCCGTTTCGTTTCAATTTAGGACTCCTCAGCAGTGCGTATCCACGATCTCGCACGCGGGATTCAAACCTAGGACTTTCGGTCTCGAATTCCTACACTTAATTCAGCACTGCAATATAATCAGTTAGTGAATACATTATTTAGCTGTCATGTCGCTCTCTCTTCAGTAAAGAAATAATTTTATTCTATTTTTTATAGTCTTAATTGGATCCTGAAAAATTCTAAAATCCAAATCATTTAAATTTACATTTTTACTACCTAAAATCTATGAATATTCGGCACCCCATACAGCTTCATTAAAATGTTAGAGATAGAGAATCTACGAAATAAACAAATGAATCCGAGTCAAATGTCATCATAACATGAAATAAAAAATAATTTTCTCTGAAAACGTTTTACATCTATTAACATGTTCCAAAGTATTATTTCTGTTTATAACTAATTGATCACTAAGTAGTATCCAATGCCATGTTTACTTGATCATTCTAGTACTGAAAGAATCCTATTGATCAAGCTGAATTATAGTTAGAAGTTTAAATGACTCAACATTTTATACACTATGTAAGGTGTTTGGAGGTATGCGACAGAAAATTCTCGGTTGCTTAGCATTGGTCAGAAAGAAATACCTGTAATCTCAAGACAACTGTCCGTTTCAGGTGAGTTTTAAACGCTGACTGAATGGCTTAGCGGTATAACCTTCGAGAACACCACTTTTCTTAAGAATAATAGTACTTGTCATTGATAGATAACAATTAACACGAGACGTGAATCAAATACGGTTTCTTGTTGATTATCTCAAAACCACTAACATGTTGATAACTTCATGTATCACAGTTTTAATATATTTACTTTTGTAGATTTTTCATGATGAACAACTATTTTACTTATTCTAATACTCAATTTAAAGACCTGTACTAATTGATAAGGTATTTATTTCAGTCAGAATATCTTTAACAGGATATTCTGGAACAATTATAAATGAAGATTCTTTTTAAGCAAAGATGGATAGTGGCTAACATGGAATCCAGGATGCGCGTTTCAACCTATTTGAAACTTGTCCGTCGGATGTACCTGCATCTCAGAGTTGATGTTCACTCTGGGACTCGAACCCATTACCGCCCGTTTCAAACACCATCGTGTGATTCATTTAGCTGCTGAGTCCTAATGGCCACTTGGTTGTGCAAATAGGATGAAACGCCCGTCCTACATTCCAAAGCTAACCACTACTCATCTTTGCTTATAATTCTTGTGAATTAAGACAATATCGAGGCAATATGCACAGTATTCATACGTGTCAATAAGAGACTGATGAATTAGAGTCTTAAACATCAATAAAACGATTCAAATAAACATTATCAAGTAAACTTAAACTTGACCCCGTTGCACAAGCAAGTAGCTATCAGAACTCAGTAGTTAAGTGGATAAAGTGATGGCGTTTGAAGTGAACGTTACTGGGTTCAAGTCCCAGAATGAACATCAACTCTGAAATCCAGGCACATTCAATTGACGAGTCCGAAACAGGACGAAACACACTTCCTGAATTCCACTGCTAGTCCCTGTCAATCTTTGTTTATAATGCTTATGAATTAAAACTATATCGAAGCAATACATACAGTACGCACAATATACCAACAAGAAACTGATCAATTACAATCTTAAACATCAATGAAAAGATTCAAACAAACAAATACTTACACCAAGTGAATGATAATATTGATATGTTGCTATATTATCAAATAAACTTGCTGTAAAATTTTCTTTTAATCTAGAATATTTAATTAATATACGTATACATTGAAAACTTGAACGATCTTTTGAACATTTATTTTCACATTTAACTGATGATGATATTAATTTTGATTCAATATATGTACAATTTGTTGGTAAAAATCCAGCTTCATGACGACATGGTAATATAACTAAATGTATTAATATACATTCAATAATAAAACATGTTGTTATAATTGTAGAACATGTTAAATAAATAAGTTTTATACAAGTTTCATGATATTTATGTTGTCTTCCTTTCCATATTGTATGATGATGACGATGATGTTGATGATATTGATGATGATGATGATGCAGATTTGTAGTAGAATGTGATTGATGAATGAATTGAGAATGTTGATTATTATATGGAGTTGATTGAATCCCTTCAACTTTCTCTTCAACTATATTTTCTTCATTAATTTTATTATTATTTAAAGAAATTTCTTGAACTTCATTGGTGAAATTATGCATTTTTAATAATCATCATCATGATTCTTTTTTTATTGTTAAAGTACTACTTCCATGAGGAATTGGGAACAAGGAATAATCAAGTTGATATAATAGAAGGATTACAATACTAGATTACGTAATATGAATATGAGGTTCAACGAAAGGATCACTTTTCAACGAATTTATTATCAAGCTATACAATCGTATATATTTATCTATATGGAAATTTTTTCGTTAAAATACTAGTTCCATCAGGGATACAAGTAATAACCAAGATGATATAATAGAAGGATTACAATACTAGATTACGTAATATGAATAATAGTAATAATAATCGACTTAATAAGTTAGTAATGTGAAAGTTATAACATGAATTTAGTAAGATATTTAATAAATCCTAATTTATTATTTAATTAATTAACTTCTATAATTGACCAATCAAAATAAGATTAAAGAAACTCACTTCTGATTGGTTGAATTGTAATAACAATATTATTATTGAAGAGGAAGCATGGTATATACAATAAAACAGCTTGAATATATACAACTAGATGATTTGGACATTTCAAATGACCTAAGTCTTCTATTCCATACATATATACGAGCAAATTCAGGTCATGATAACCAATGTAGTAGAATCATCTGGAATCAGTAAACTCTTCAAACCCCTTATACTAATGAATTTTTTATGATAATCTATAGTAGACTTAAATAGGAAATCAACATTCATTAATAAATTATTTATTCATATATAGCTTATTAACTGATAATTAATAATAAGTGTGACATAGTTTTTTTTGTTTTAATATTATAATAATGAAGGTTATTTTTTTATTCAAGGAAATAACATTTATTCTAGAAGGGAGTAGGTGAAATAATAAAAAAGAAATTTCCTCAGTGTGAATTAAATCTATCAGGTCAGGTTTAAAACAGTAGCTGAGTGAGCGAGTGAGTGAGTGAGTGAGTGAGTGAGTGAGTGAGTGAGTGAGTGAGTGAGTGAGTGAGTGAGTGAGTGAGTGAGTGAGTGAGTGAGTGAGTGAGTGAGTGAGTGAGTGAGTGAGTGAGACAGTGTGAGTGATGGAGGGAGGAGGAGAGAGCGAGTGAGAGTGAGTGAGTGAGTGAGTGAGTGAGTGAGTGAGTGAGTGAGTGAGTGAGTGAGTGAGTGAGTGAGTGAGAAAGAGAGTGGGTGAGTGGGTGAGCAAGCGATCGAACAAGTGAGTGAGTAAATGTACTTTCTTCTTAAAATTCATTCATTTTTTATATGTTTTAAATTAATTATCTTTTCTATTTATTTATAACTGTTCATAGATTTTTCTTGTTAAAAAAAAATTTAAAAAAAAAGCAAAATACATTCTATCAACACTGGGATATTTTCAAGTCTTTACCAACAAATATTATTTACTTCACTTAGTGTTGTTTGTTTTAATCTTCCCATTGATGTTTAGGACTTTATCTGGTCAGTCTCTTATTGCCACATGTGCATCCAGCTGACGAGTCCCAAATAGGACGAAACGTGCGTTAAACTGGATTCCATTGCTAGCCACTATCCATCTTTGCTTATAATAATTGTGAATTAAGGCTATATTGAGGCAATACACACAGTATGCACATATGCCAATAAGAGACTGATCAATTACAATCTTAAACATGAATGATAAGATTCAAACAAACAATACCAAGTGAATTTAAACTTCACCTCATTGCACAAGCAAGTGGCTATCATCACTCAGTAGCTGAATGAATAATGCGATGGAGTTTAAAGCGAAAGGTACTTTGTTCGAGTATGAAACAGTAAGTGATGCAGTATGAATTTTAGTGTAAATACCAACAATAAGATACAGATATATCCTAGCTAATGATTTATGAATAGGACGAAATGAACATTATAGATTCCCCTACTAATCAAAGTAAAGATATAATAAAACGTCTAGAAATAGGATATATTGAGGCAATTGAATTGGGATATACAGTTCCCAATAAAGACCGATTACAGTTTGTTCTGAATGTCAAGGACAAATTAAGTCAAATCCCATATAAATAAGGAAATTTCTATTCAGTTTAATGTTTTCTTTTTCTTCCCAACCCAATATGAATTCCATAATTTTCACATTATACTATTATTATTAGCTTTATTCAATAGTATAGTGTGGGTACAGTATAGAATTCCCTGTACAAGGTTTTTCAACAAGTTTGCGTTTCTTACTTCATGGTCGATTCTGACGATAAATATTGAGTGATTTCCAGTTAGAATTTAGCAGTACAGTCAAACGACATCTAAATAATGTACATTCTTTTCACTGTATATTGTCAGCAACTACGATATCGCCGACTGAGCCTTTTGTAACTTGTACCACGAAAAGTTGTACACTTTTCAGAAGCACACTTGAATAGGTTATGCGATTAATAGTCATAATGATGTACTAAAACAAACGAAATTAGATAACTTGTTGAAATATCTAGATGACAGGAACAGGTAGCCCAGATGTTCAAACAGGCCATCATTGATGTAAATAACATTATTATACTATCTTGTTTAATACAATCTTGTTTACCATACTTATAAATATAGAATATATACTTACTAATTGCTCAACTTTTCTGTCTAAAATAACAAAGATTCATAGCTTATGTTGATTCAAAAATATAGTTGAGATCATGAATCCATTGGGGATAGACCACTATGCAAAACCTGGGAGCACTAGACGGCCGTTTCGTCCTCAGCAGTGCGCATCCACGATCCCGCCTCACGGGGTTCGAATCCAAGACCTACCAGTCTCGTGTCTGTAACTAATATTTACTAAATCCATAGACAAACTGCATATCCAGTCATTACGTTCTGTCTAAGAGGCCTATTATCAATTTTATACCAAGAGTACAAACGGAATTATTATCATTTAAGAGCGTATATTATACATAGAGATATAAGAAAATATTTTGAGAGAATCTCACTTCTCGGTAGACCATGACATAACTTACATACTGTTTAAATTTCAGTCAACATAACAAAAAAAACAAGTATTTCATCAAGTTGGACTGCGGTTAACAGAGAATTACACGTTCCACGTTCCGTCAATTCTGAGACTCGTCAACCGGATATACCTCTGTCTCAGTGTTGGAGTTTATACCTAGACTGACACCTAGTACTTTTCACTTCGAAAGTCAAACGCGTTATCCACCAAGCTACTGAAATCCATGTATACGTTCAATTGATCAGTCTCAAATAGGATAAAATCCGCGTCCTACATTCCATTGCTATCCATCATCCAATTTTACTAAAAACCTTCAACTAAAAGATAGTGTAGAGGCAGTTCTTTCAGGATAAACATATGCTAAAAAAGACTGATCAACTATGGTGGAGAAGATTTGTAGCCTAAGTGGATGATTTTGATGAAGTTTTGTTATCTTAGCTGGATGGTTTGGTTATGTTTGTACCTTCATCTTTTGGTCCTCTATGACGTGTTAGTATTTACGGATCCTATAATGTGGATCCGTTATCATTAGGTGTACCATTTTTCTTCTACTTTGCTCAGCTATTCTCCATCCCAATGGGCAGTCTATTGGAGGTCTGTATCTTACACTTGTTGATAGAACATGCTGATGAAGACATTCGTGGAGAACCATCCAGCTCACAGAAAAAGACTCCATCAAAAAACTGATCAACTATAGATTTTAACATTAATAACGAAGTAACACAAACACAAATGTTACTCAACTATATCTATCTTATCAACATTCATTTGTGATTGCAGAATTGAAGTTGAGATATTTAAGGGATATTTTTTGAACTTTCGTCTAAATGTGATCGAATAATTTCATAGTATTTAGATGCCAAGTTGTTATGAAACATTAAAGAGGAAGAATGTGCTTGTATAATCTCAGCGAATGAATTTGAACTTAATTCAACATTTTGCCTAGTAATTTGGTCCAAGCTTTTTCAAGTAAGTGAACAGAAAACGGGTGGAGACAATCAAATGTATTTGAGACGAAAATTACGGACTATCTCACCAAAATTTGATAACCATACAGTAAACAATTAATTTGCAAAATAACAAACAATTGTCTTAATCTTGACTGTTCCTTCTGCAAATATCAATCGATAGTCCCTGATTATTATTGTTCATGCATTTTCATACTAATTGTGTCCCATTCCCGTTCTCTCCTTATCGATCTTCGACTGAAATACATTCAATGCTCAACCAGCATTATATACTACTTATGTGGATATAAGTAACTCACACCACAATATAATCAAACACCAAAATTATCGAATATAAATAGGTACATGATCCTGAATTATTATTGAAATAAACAATGAAATATTAGAACTATTCACTACTGATTTGACCTAATAGTCAACCTTAACCTTCAAATACATATGTATATTGAATAAAAATTAATTTTGAATGGTTTACTATGATATTATGTGTTTCTTTTGTATTCAACGAACTCGAGAAGGAAATCCTTAATTGTCATCATTATGAATAAAATTTCACTGGAACAATGAATATACAGGTAATCATAATTTATGCTACTTATAAGTAATCAATTTGAGATAGATAAATAACTTTTGTTTTCAGTTATCATTCGATATTTGAACTTGCAGAATTGAAATATTGTTACATCCAATCTTCTGTAGTTTAGATTTTTGCAAGGCCTTCAGTAAAATTTTAGTTATTACTCTCTCCTCACAGGTAAACTTATGATATAACCGTAAGGTAGGATACGGTATGGATTCCGTAAGGATTGAACAGACCAAATTGCAACTCTATGGATCATTGTGAAACAATCAAATGAATGGAATTCACCACTCTACATCAAATTCATTGACTACGAGAAAGAATTTGATAGCGTATACAGGACAACACTATGGAGGCTCTTTCGACACTACGGCGTGCCTGAGAAAATAGTCAATATCATACGGAATTCCTATGATGGATTAAACTGCCAAATCGTTCATGGAGGACAACTCACTGACTCATTCGAAGTAAAGACCGGTGTTAGACAAGTTGCTTACTCTCACC